CTCTCTTCCAGTGGCAGTGCCCCAATCCACCTTCAAATTTTTGGACAGACTAATAAGCGCATTTATTTGGCAAAATAAAAGACCCAGAGTGAGACTTAAAGTCCTCCACTCGACCAAGGACAGGGGTGGCCTAGCCCTTCCGCACCTTAAAAGTTATTATTGGGCAGCACAACTTAAAGCTCTAGTCTCATGGTCTAGATCAGAAATGGAAACAAAGTGGCTGTCACTAGAACAGTCGTCAGTGGTGGGTAAACCATTATCAGCCCTCTTATTCATGGACAAAAAGCAATGGAAAAAACTCAAAATACAAAATGATTGTGTATTGTTCACCTTGGGGGTTTGGGGAAAAATTAGGAAACAATTTAAATTGCCAATATCTTTATCAAGAGCATCTAAAATAATTGAAATAGCAGATTTTCTTCCAGCAAGACTTGATGGATGTTTTACTAGATGGGCTAACAACGGATTAACAATTATCAACCAGCTGATTAAGAACACGGTAATTAAATCTTTTTCTCAAATTCAACAGGAATTTAACATCCCTAGTAGTGATCTTTTTAGATTTTTCCAAATACGACATTATATCGAGAGAAACATAAAGAATATGACAATATCAGACAACAACAAACAACCTTTGAACAGTATTGGATAGATGTAGCAGAAGGGAAAAAATGCATGAAGAAAATAATTTCTACATTGTATAAAAATATACGTTTGGCACAGGATGAAAGCACGCTAGATGTGAAAAATAAATGGGAACTGGAACTTAATGTGGTTGTCTCTGACATGGAATGGGAAAATGCTTGGGAAGAGTGGCAAAAATGTCTTAGTAGTCAAAACTGGAGGGAGTATAGTTGGAAACTAAGAATGAGATTTTTCAAAACCCCAATAATTACAGCTACTTATAACAGGGACATCAGCGCCCTCTGTTGGCGAAAGTGTGGACACATTGGTGACTTCTCTCACATTTTCTGGGAATGTCCGGTAATAAAGGTCTATTGGGATAATGTGACTAAAGAAATAAAGAAAATATTGAATATTAATACACAATTCAAGGTGCAACATATTATTCTGTGTGGTACAATGAATGATGCTTGGGATACAGACAAAATGTACATGTTAAAAGTGCTCATATTGATTGCACACAAAGTAATCACTGCGAACTGGTTAAAGCCACTCCCACCGACGGTGGAGCAATGGACTCAGCGCCTAAGGACTGTGAACTGTATGGAGGATATAACATCAGTACTGAACCTGAAAAGAGAAATCTACATAAGAAAATGGGCTTGTGTAACTTCCTATCTTGAAAATGTCTAAACATCTTGGTTACTGTTAAGCAGACCTGGGCATGTTGAGGCCTGGGGGCCAAGTAAAACCACTAAATACCTTTAGAAAGGCCATGGAAAATGTTTAATTTTGATTTTTTTTATATTTATTGACCAATCCCAAGACACTTTAAGTAGTGTTTATCACTTTTTGTCACAGCTTTGTCATTTTTATTTTATTTTGGTATTTTATTTTGGTAGTTTTACACAGGGTGGCTCTTTCTAGTCTTTTTGGTACAAAACATACTAAATTATGGAAATATTCAATCCAAATACCACATTTTTCAAGGTTTCATCAAAATGACGGGGCTGTGATCAGGATCAGAACCAGCACTTACAGTTCAGTCCTCCATCTTGTTATGGATGTCTGCTGGCCCTCTGGTCATAATACATGCCCAGCCCTGCTGTAAACCCTACTGAACAAATGGCTAATGCCATTTCTCTGACAAAGAAACAATTTGTAATGTCAAGCACGATCTTGTATGCAATTATGTGTGGAAAAATGTCAAGGTATTGTTAATAAAAGTTCAAAAAAAAAAAAAAACTCTAAGTGTAATAGAAATAATAGTTTGCCTGATTCATTTAATGAAAATGAACTGCTGACTAGAACATTCGAACACTAAAATAATCATTAGCTGCAGATTTACTCATTGATAATGATGGAAATCATTTATAATAAACTCATTTGAAAATTGGGGAAAAAACTGTACCAACATCTTTGACATAATTACTCCAGATTAAAATTAATTGGATTTTTTCTGTCAATGATTCACCAGTAATTAAGGACAATCTTATTTTTAATATTACAGTTTGATTAAATATAATAAACTATTAAAACTGGACCAGAGGGACAACTGTAATGCTGTGTACAAGAAGATCATGAGGAGACTCGATTTCCTGAGAAAGCTCAGGTCTTTCAGTGTGTGCAGCAAGTTATTGGAGATCTTCTCCCAGTCTGTGGGGCCAGGGCCCTGAACATCACTGTGTTCTGCTGGAGGAGCAGCTCCAGGAAAAGAGACATTGGGCAAATCGACAAACTGATCCATAAAACTGCTCACGAGATCCACTGTGAGCTGGAGACATTTGTCACAGTGAGGGACACGAGGACACTGGACAAACTGTTCTCCATCGTGGACACTCCTGCTCACCCACTGCACCAGACTATAGAGGGACAGATAATACTCCCTACAACAGTAGAACAACTCACCCTTATGTAAAGGCTAACTCTATGTCCTGTCAATCATCCGATCATTGTTGCACTGTCTCCCTGTGACCTCTCATATAAAGCTGACAGTTTATATTTTATTACTTATCTTTCTATTTTATTTTGACTTGTACATTTACATTTATATATGTCTTTTTTGACACCTGTCTCTTCCTACCTTTGCTGCTACTTATTTCAAATTATTACATTTATATTGTTTACTCTTTGTTATTATATTACATTCTGTGTGAGCTATGTGTCCAAATCATTTTCCTTTCGGATCAATAAAGTTTGTTTAAGTGTAAGTCTAATAAAGTCTGATTGTTTCCTGAAGTGTGCAGTGTGTGTGTGTGTGTGTGTGTGTGTGTGTGCGTATGTGCGTGCGTGCGTGCATGTGTGTGTGATAAATGTAATGTGCACTTTTTGAGCATGTGATACCTTGCACCACTGTTCTTCATTTTTACATGAGTCAGAGTCAAGAGGACTGTCAAACAAAGACTCTTGGTGGTTTTCCGACTCTAGAAAGTGACGTCGTACTCCGAGATGGAACAGACAGTTTTCCATATTGATTAGATTACATCAATAATAATAATATAAATCGCATTACTCATTCTCTCCACAATCTCTGGTAGTAAGTTTAAGTTACTATTGTAGCCACAGCTGCCCTGGGACAGACTGATGGAAGAGAAACTGCCAATCTGCACCATCAGCCCCTCCCACCACCAACACTCCTCTGACATTTGGGTTCGGGACTCACTGCTCTGACCACTGAGCCACTGTACATTGCACTTTGTCGTGAAAATCTCCAACAGGTGAATTTATAAATGTTGAACCTGTTCATTTCTATTAGTGACTAGAGCCAAGAACTCCAACAACACAAATCTGCATCGGAACAAGACTCATTGTAGCAGCTCTCATCTGTAATAACCAGAGGTGGGACCAAGTCGTTGTTTTGCAAGTCTCAAGTAAGCCTCAAGTCTTTGACCTAGACTCCAAGTCAAGCCAAGTCCTGTCTTAGTCAAATCCAGGCAAGTCCAGGTCGAGTCTCGTGTCACTAAAGTCCAAGTCAAGTCCAAGTCATTTGCTTTGAGCTTCAAGTCATTTCAAGTCTTTGAACCAAAAAAGTACCAAATACAGCTTAGGTTTTTGCTATTTATATGACTTTTAAACTAAATTATACTTAAAAACTCATGGTGTATGAGCAAATGTTTCCTTTTTAAATGTCTTGACAAGAGTGTGAATCATTACGGTCAGAATAGAAAGAATTAAGATTTAAAAGTTCTTAACAACAGATATTTTATCAGGTAGTCTGCACTGAAATGGACGGATCATGTTCTATGTAGTTCCCTCGGTTTTACTGTATTGTACTGTGTATTACTGTAGTACATTTGATGACACCATCTCACAGTACTTGGGTTACATCCAAAGTGGGACGGACATGTTCTAGTTTGTTCCTGTAAAATTTAACACCGCATGTATCAACTGTAAAGAAAAAAGTATTTTCTAAAAACATACAGTATATATTTTTTCGAAGAAGCGTCAAGTCTTCTCAAGTCACAGGCCTCAAGTCCGAGTCAAGTCCCAAGTCTTTGCCTATTTTATCAAGTCTCAAGTCCTAAAAATAGTGACTGAAGTCTGACTGGAGCCCAAGTCACAACTTGTAAGTCCCCACGTCCGGTAATAACTAACACTGGTCTATAGAACGCTGTCATCTGAAACACACCAACACTTACTTTACATTTATTTTCCTCCACAAACATACACAATCATTTCCATTTTTATTGAACAGGAAATTAAATCTCTCATCCTCAGTTTTACAGATGCAAATGCTCTGTGGCTTTGCTCCTGTCCTCTCCTCCAAACTGTTAAAGCTGCACTATGTCATTTTTCTAAGTGCACCTCCTGTTGTCTCCATTAGTGTGTTTTATTTGCTTTTATTTTATTTGCTTAGAATGCTTCACAACATGGCATTCAACTATCTATAAAGAGACGAGCAGACAAGCAGGTGATGCCACTTGGCCAAGTTATAAGTCAGATCTGTGGAGAGGCGTTTTACAAGGTAGCTGTGAGAAATAAAACCACACGTATTTGAAGAAATTCTACGATCAGTGTCACAGAGTAGAACATCTCCGACAAACCAATAATATTTCCATGGAGACAAGCAGGTGGCTGACCCTCTAACACAAAAATACGTAGTGCACCTTTAACAAATAAATCTTTATAAATGCATTAAATAATATTACACTAGATCCATCATGAGACTACAATGCTTCAGTGAAAACCTTTAACGGAAACTGCCTTCATAGTTCACAACATTTAGCCAACTTAGCCTTTCCAGCTAATTTTGGATCTACGACAATTCCTCTTATAACTCTTCAGACTGCACTTCCTCAAAGTCCCAAAGAATCTCACAAGTTGTATTAGTATTTGAAAACGTGGCTAGTCTCCACAAAATGAAAACTCTCTCTCACCTGATTCTTACGATCCTTTCTTCTTTGTGCGCAGACCGCTCGGGTGCGTTAATGTTGTTATTGAATTTACGCAGAGGTTAAAGCGTGTCTGTGTGCCGTTCGTCATGCTAACAGCGACATCAGCACGTCTCCGGACACCTAAGAAGTGATCAGTGCAGTAAAGACGCGCTTTTAAAGGCAGTTTATGAGCGAAAAAGCAGCTGCTGTGTGGAGTTTTGCGCTGTGCCAACTCCGCTGAACTCTGGAGTCCCGCTGCGTTCACGTACACTTGGGAATGTGTCGTGTCGTGGTTTTAAAGCTGATTTCAAATATTTTATCGAAATATATTAAGTTTTATTCTAGAACTAAAGATTAAAGTGATTACCCTCAATCATGTCAAGTCCAAAAATGCCATTATATAAAATAATAAATACGAAATAACTTGCAATTCCTTTCCTTACCATTAAGATGTAATGTGCAAATTCCGATACATCCCATGTGACTTAAACCTAACATAGGAACGAACGAACGTCACTACAGAAAACAAGACCAAATTAATCGAAACTCGATTAACAAACTCGATTAAGATATTTTTATTAGAAGCATAAGATTTTACAGTACAAAAATAGTTTTACAATTGTACATTTTCATATATTATATATTTATCAATTTAAAATCAAAAGCTGGTTCAGTGTACAAAATACTTTTAATTACATAAAAAGAGTATATTCAGAATGAGTTGCCATTGAACTAAATATACAATGATGTCAGAAGAGTATATTATCACATAGTGTGGTCAGGGGGAAAGTGGAGTGTCCCTGCAACTATTAATCATGTAAAATACTGGTACTAAAGTAGGAGATTTACAGTACCTTATTTTTCGGACTATAAGTCACACTTTTTTCATGGTTTGGGTGTTTCCTATGACTTATACTCTGGTGCGACTTATATATTAAAATGTTCACACTGACAGAGGCAAGAGGCTCTAGTCTTGCGTGAGTATCTGCTGCTCCTGTTCCTCCTGTACCACTCTACTGCACACATCTCCTGCAGAAAGAGCCTCTGTCCTGCATGAAATATTCTGCCAAAAACAGTAACTGAGTAACAGAAAGAAAGTTTGGAGTGAGTGAGAAACTTGTGAGAGACTGGCAGAAAGGGGGGATGCAATTTTCCTGGATGGATGGACAAAGCCTGGACTTCAGTGACACTGAAACCATCCCGTCAGGATTCAGAAAGACCCAAATAATTCTAACTGGAACTGATGCTGAGTCTGACGACAGCGGAGGAGGTGAGGCTCATTCTGCTTCTGATTGGATCATCATTTTGAGAATCAAAATACGAAATTATAACATAAACAACTTGGCCATCATGTCCAATGTTTTTGTAATTAAGAATAAATCGGCATTACAACTGTTAATAAATGAAAATGAATTTAAATCTAAATCTTATATAGAAATATGGACTCAAAAGCAGCAGCAGATTAGAATCTGTGTATCATTTGTTTATTTGTTTTTCAAAATAAAACCAAAAAATAAGAAAATGAAAACACAACAACATTTTCTTCATTATTTGTCTCCAAAACCAAAATGAAAAAATGGATAACGATACATTTTTTTTTCAGTTTTTGGGTTTTGTGTTTAAACAAATAATGGAAAAAAAAAAAAAAAAGTTTCCGTGATTGATTTGGCATCAGCCAAACTTTTGCACCACATACAAAGTGAACCAGGACTGAGCCAGAACTAAACCAGGTCTAAACTAGGACTAACCTTGGACTTGAGAGAGAGACGGGACCCCGAGCCCGTGGAGCAGGTTGTCCACAAAGTGCAGTGTCGCCTGAGTTTAGCCCTGTGGGGCACGGAGCTCTGCGTCGGTCCTTTCACCTGTGGTCACCCCACAGTTTACGTGGGCGCAACTCCACGCCCGTCCCAACACTCAGTCCTGGTTCAGTTCTGGTTTAGTCCGGCATCACAGTTTAAGTCACAGAAACGGGAAACGGCCGTTATCTGTTTTTTCCAGTATTCATTTAAACACAAAATTTAAAAAAGAAAAAAACAATTGTTATCAAGTTTATCATTTTGGTTTTGGAGACAAATAATGAAGAAAATGTTTTTATTTTGAATAACGAATGAACGAAATGACAGAGATTGATTAGATATCCACCTTATTCTGGAATTATTGCCACAGGCACGGTCATTATTATTCCAGGTGTATGATTCTGCAGAGGAATACTAACCTCAGCAAATAATGTAGAACTAAACTACAAACAGCCGTTTGAAAGGCCTTGATGTTAGTGGACAAACTTTTCTCATATTCTCCACTGAAATGCCTGGGATTCCTGTGCCAACATGGAGGAATAAAGTGGATTGGACACTTTAAAACATGAGCAATTTACTCAAACCTGTTTTAGAATCAACAGTTTGAAATACATGCTTTTCATAGAGCTCATCAGCAACTAAGGCCAGAACAATTAGGATTCTGATTGGCTGCTGGACATCTTGATCAGATCAATCACAGAGGAGATCGTACCCATGAGCCCGACGGTCCAGTCAGGGAATCGTCCCGCCCACAGGAAGCCCGGGGGCATCCAGTGCACCGCGTTACACAGATCTGCTGCACTGCTCACCACTGACAGGAGCTCAGCCTGCACCTGTCTGCGCAGCCCTGGCACCCTGCAACACAGACGACACATCAAAATCATTTTCTTCTTATTACAATATAAAGTCTAAAACCAGGTCTAAAGGACTAAACCTGGACTGGAACAACAAAACTGAACAACGGACTAAACCAGGATTTATCAAGGACTAAATCAGGACTAAAACTGAACAAAAGTCTAGTAGTGTAACAGTAATGCCTCTGTCTTATAGAACACTAGACACTCAAAAGTCACTTTTTGTGTATTATTGATTCACACACACACAGTTCAAGTCAGGTGTCAAGTGTCTTGCCCAAGGCCACAACAATAGTACACAGTGATCCAAGCAGGGTTTGATCTGCAAACTTTTAGTTGGCAGAGGAGCTTTGGAACACTGAATAACTGTTGCCACAAAGCCATTCTCAAAAGTGGACTCAACTAGAGCAGAAGCAGATATAAACCAGGACTAAACCAGGACTATACTGGGCATCAACTTGGACCTCAGAATATAAAACATGTTTAGAGCAGTTTTTATAAAACAGTGGTTCAGATAATTACTACGTGGACTTGTGGAGTGGAGTAGAACATCTGTGACTCTTTATAAACACTTACATTGTGCTATATTTTTACAATACATTACATCTAGAAAAGATATTTTGTCTCCTTCTATTCTTTATTTTTCCACACATGTTATTGACAGGTCTACCATCAGTGCACATGTACAACAGTGGAACATGTGTGTTCTCTCGAGAAGCAGCTGGAAAGTTCTCCTGAATTGTACCTTTATCAAAGTTAAGTTATTAAAACTATATACATATATATTTAAAAAATAAATAAATAAACATTATTTTCATTATATATACGTACATTGTGAACATGCAAAATACAATATATAACAGACACACACACAAAAAAGCAAATATGATGTGGTCTCAAACACACACACACACACAGAGTAAATACAGTGTGTCAAATTCCCCCTTAGGACAAGTGAGGCACACACTCATGTTTAATGAAACTGTCAGGTTCATTATTCACTCAGTCACCTCTGGTGAGCAGGAGTGAGTGCCACAACTATTTCTGGATTTTATCTTAACTGTTTGTTTCATTGAAATATGTAAGACCTTCCAGAAAGTGATTCTGAATGATTTTTGAACAAATGTCTGTAGCTTTCTAAGTTTCTTGTGTTGCGCTGCTTACAAATTATGTTTATGGCCAGTAAGGAAATAATTCATATTTCTTCCCAAATCAACAGTTACAGATGCTGTAGGACATGGGCAACAAGAAACAATGATTTAAAATATGATTTCAAAGTAAACTTCTGTGAGCAAATGAGGATTATATTGATATTACAAACTGAAAAAATGTGTGTGGCTTTGGGAAGATCAGTAAAATGATGCCCAACATTTGATCTGGTATATTCACATTTCATGATGATATGATATAGAAGTTGATTTTCTAACTCAATACATCACAGTGATGCAGCCCACTAAAGGCCGGAGCGAACGTCCCCCCTCTCCCGGGTACAGCAGGTACCCGTGTGTTGCCCAAGAGGCACCTGGAGGGAGGAAAGGGACGTTCCTGCCAAGAGAACGGGACGTTTGAGCTGGAACTTTAAGCCAGAGAGACGCTCGAGCCTGTATTCGTCCTCTCACCTGCTCCTGTCCTCCTCTCCTCTCTCACATCTCTGCAGCTTCCTCTTCAGCAGCACCAGCACACGCACAGACCTACACACAGGAAGGAGGAGGGATAAGATCATGGCCCAGTCTGTCAGATGCCCTTCCATCAACCTATACCCCTGTGCTTCACATGCCCTCCCCTGTGTCAGATGCCCTCCCCTGTGTCAGATGCCCTCCCCTGTGTCAGATGCCCTCCACTAATAGAAATGATGAAGGGAAAACATTAGTGGATGTGAGAGGTGCACAGAGAGAACATGACAAGGAGTAAATATGGTGATAAAAGTACAGACGCTGAACCCTCACCTAAGCTTTAATATCAAACATGTGTTCAGTAATAATGAATGAATGATAAATTGTTGTTTAGATAATAAGTCTGTCAATATTGAATCAACCAGAGCAGGAAATTAAACATGTTCCACTGAGGGAAACAGGCAGAAGATCAGTTATAGTTATAATAGTTACTGAAATAATATTTGGCTCATTTGTTCATTTAGCCAGTGCTTTCTTAGCTTCTGTTGCTCATAGTTACAGACGACTGAACACTCCAGTGCTCAGGTACAGTATTACAACTCTGCAGCTCAACATTCCCTGGAGGTGTGATAGGTTAGATTAGGTTACTGCATTCATCCCTGCAGTTAAATTTGTTTTGCAGATTTGAGAAGCAGATCCCACATTTCACATTTCATTCATCCACATTATGAACAATAAACACATATAAAAACACAATTACAAAATAAAGTGTTACAGAGCTCCAGTGCAGAATGGTTTGTCCCATAAACAATTAGTTAAATTCATCCATGACGCTTCCCTAAAATCATAATAAATATTAAATATATAAAAACACATGAGTTTTCCAGGACAAACATACTAGAATTGATAAATAGATTACACTTTATTCATAAGTACAACAGCAGCTGCAACAGCAGCTTCTTTTAAAATGATTCAATCTAGAAGCAGCTGAGTTTAGTGGATGTTGCACGTCTTTTAAAATCGTCTGGGACATCCTCTGTAAGTGTCTTGAGTACAGGGAGTGCAGACGGCTCTGAGGATGAACAATCACCTCACTCATTTAACCAACTGATTCAGGGAGTTCTTCTTTTTACAGGGTATCCCCTGGTTTGACTACCCCAAATTTAAGACTTTTTTAAGACCACTTAAATGAAAATGAAGACCAACATCGCACCCATTATGAGGCGAAAAACATCAGATCCAATTCTAATAAAGACCAAACAACTACAGGACTATATCCTACGGTGGTGTATTGCTATCACTCCCCAAAAAATATTTCGGCTCACTATCACGTAATTACGTGAAAAGTTTCACGTTATAACGTGATATTTTTCACGTTATAACGTGAAATTATCACGTTATTTCATGATATGAAATTATCACGTTATTTCGTGATGTGGTATTTTCACGTTATAACGTGAAATTATCACGTTATAACGTGATACGAAATTATCACGTTATTACGTGATACGGAATTATCACGTTATTACGTGATACGAAATTATCACGTTATTACGTGATACGGAATTATCACGTAATAACGTGATACGAAATTATCACGTTATTACGTGATACGAAATTATCACGTTATTTCGTGATACGCATTTATCACGTTATTACATGATATTTTCACGTTATAACGTGAAAACGTCAATTATGGTTTTACGTGATTTCATTATAAGATCAGCCACAGCCAAACCACGCTTCCCTTGGTCCAGTCAACTCCAGCCTGAGCATGGCCCACGCTGAAAATGTGGATTCTCCACTCTTGAGATTACTTCGGGCTCGTGTTGTCTCCTTCGCATGAAGCAAGATCGTGTAAGTGTATTTTACAGTTTCGTCCCCAAGTTGTGTTGTCGTACGGTAGCAGAATGCTCTGTAAGCAACTGCTGAATATTAGAGCTGGAGCGAGTTGTTCGCTGTGGGTAGAGCTGCTAAAAGTACCTAGTCTGTTTGCAATTCTGTTATAGCTCCTAAGAATTAGTTAAAGACAAAAGCATTCATTTGACACATTTCGGTGTTTCCAGTTATTTATGAATAATGACCATAAAACATTGTTGACTGTATGCACTCAGACATAGCCAGTGTAAGAGAATGCTATTCAGAAAATGTGGTGTAGTTAGCTAAGCTAAGCCCCACTTCAACTCATCTGAGCCCGGCCTGGGCAGGGGAACAGCGCTCAGAGATCCCTGTGCTCCTCCGGTTCAGGCCGGGCTCAGATGATCTGGAGCGGGGAGTGGTTAGGTGCCTCGGCCTGAGAAGCGCTTTTCTCGAGAAGAACCAAGTGCACGGAGGCTCAGAACAGTAACGAACCAGACCGGATTCGCGCTTCTGTCCGGATGCTTTACTCCACCTCAGAACCAGCCGCAACGCTACACCGGAGCAACCCGCACGGACCTAGAGTTCACTGCGCATTCTCGCTTTCCCCGCACGGAACCAGCGCGCAGAGGACGGCACGGAACCGCTCAGCGATGACTTTACTGCTGTTGGCTGCTGCTGTTACCCGAACTCAGAGCTTCTGGGCAGATGTGCAGCGAGTTGTGTACAAAGTTGTAGGCTACATGTGCTGTTTTATGAGTTTATGATGATAACTTGGAATGAGGACGGCCGTGGTGTTTTATTGTCTTTATTCATGAAGAACTTGAAACACCGACATGTGTCAAACGAATGCTTTTGTCATGAACTATGGAGCTATAACAGAATTGCAATTTTAGCAGCTCTTTGCCCACAGCGAACGACTCGCTACAGCACTCGTTCAGCAGTTGCTTACCGAACATTCTGCTATCTTGAGGACGAAACAGTAAAATACTCTTACAAGATCTTGCTCCGTGGGAAGGAGATAGTGTTCTCCTTCGTTAGGAGCCCTTCCTACTGACCTAAATACACACAGCAACATTGGCATTGAAACTGTACATAAAACACCTTTTACAGCAAGTATCACAACTAGGATGTAGATGCTTACATTTAAAAACATGAACCTCAACAACTCAAAGTTGGATCAGTGATATCCTAACATTAAATCTCATTATTTAACAAAAGAAGCAGCAGATTTTTTACAATGTAAACGATGTTTATTTTATTCATTTATTACAAACACATTTAGGCTCCTAACGACTTAATAAACAGATCCGCGGCAGAACCGCAGCAGATCCGGGCCAGATAACCCGGTTCTGAACGCGGGTCCGCGAGATACGCAGCGGATCAGCCGCGCCTCCGCCGCGGATCCGGAAAAATAAGACAGTCACGCTTCCCTTCGGTCAACTCCAACGTGAGCATGGCCCAGGCTGAAAGTGTGGATTCTCCACTCTCGAGATTTCTTTGGGCTCGTGGTGTACCAGAACACACCAGAACACTATCTCCTTCCCACGGAGCAAGATCTTGTAAGAGTATTTTACTGTTTCGTCCTCAAGATAGCAGAATGTTCGGTAAGCAACTGCTGAACGAGTGCTGTAGCGAGTTGTTCGCTGTGGGCAAAGAGCTGCTAAAATTGCAATTCTGTTATAGCTCCATAGTTCATGACAAAAGCATTCGCTTGACACATGTCGGTGTTTCAAGTTCTTCATGAATAAAGACAATAAAACACCACGGCCGTCCTCATCCCAAGTTATCATCATAAACTCATAAAACAGCACATGTAGCCTACAACTTTGTACACAACTCGCTGCACATCAGCCCAGAAGCTCTGAGTTCGGGTAACAGCAGCAGCCAACAGCAGTAAAGACATCGCTGAGCGGTTCCGTGCCGTCCTCTGCGCGCTGGTTCCGTGCGGGGAAAGCGAGAATGCGCAGTGAACTCTAGGTCCGTGCGGGTTGCTCCGGTGTAGCGTTGCGGCTGGTTCTGAGGTGGAGTAAAGCATCCAGACAGAAGCGCGAATCCGGTCTGGTTCGTTACTGTTCTGAGCCTCCTCCGTGCACTTGGTTCTTCTCGAGAAAAGCGCTTCTCAGGCCGAGGCACCTAACCACTCCCCGCTCCAGATCATCTGAGCCCGGCCTGAACCGGAGGAGCACAGGGATCTCTGAGCGCTGTTCCCCTGCCCAGGCCGGGCTCAGATGAGTTGAAGCGGGGCTTAGCTTAGCTAACTACACCACATTTTCTGAATAGCATTCTCTTACACTGGCTATGTCTGAGTGCAACAGTCAACAATGTTTTATGGTCATTATTCATAAATAACTGGAAACACCGAAATGTGTCAAATGAATGCTTTTGTCTTTAACTAATTCTTAGGAGCTATAACAGAATTGCAAACAGACTAGGTACTTTTAGCAGCTCTACCCACAGCGAACAACTCGCTCCAGCTCTAATATTCAGCAGTTGCTTACAGAGCATTCTGCTACCGTACGACAACACAACTTGGGGACGAAACAGTAAAATACACTTACACGATCTTGCTTCATGCGAAGGAGACAACACGAGCCCGAAGTAATCTCAAGAGTGGAGAATCCACATTTTCAGCGTGGGCCATGCTCAGGCTGGAGTTGACTGGACCAAGGGAAGCGTGGTTTGGCTGTGGCTGATCTTATAATGAAATCACGTAAAACCATAATTGACGTTTTCACGTTATAACGTGAAAATATCATGTAATAACGTGATAAATGCGTATCACGAAATAACGTGATAATTTCGTATCACGTAATAACGTGATAATTTCGTATCACGTTATAACGTGATAATTTCACGTTATAACGTGAAAATACCACATCACGAAATAACGTGATAATTTCATATCATGAAATAACGTGATAATTTCACGTTATAACGTGAAAAATATCACGTTATAACGTGAAACTTTTCACGTAATTACGTGATACTGAGCCGAAATATTTTTTGGGGAGTGATAGCAATACACCACCGTAATATCCAGAATCTAAGAGCCACTGTGGATTAAACCTACACTTCTCCAGGATCCATCCAACTCATCTTACTCACTGTCGTGCCAGAAACCAAAGTATTGTTTGTGCAAACTCCAAATTAGACATTCATTCATGTTTTGTTTTTTTTCCCCTCCGTTTAACATCACACTGCAGTCTGGTTGAGTATTTAAAAAATAGGCTAATGAAATTTAAGACTTTTGTGAAAAAATAAGACTTGGACAACAGAATTAAAGACTTTTTAAGGCCTTAATTTAAGAAAATTTAAATTTAAGACTTTTTAAGACTTTTAAGACCCCACGGCTACACTGTTTTATCAGAGTTGCTCCCAAACCATGAGACCAATAAAAGATCAAACTGATTCCCTGAACGTTTTATAGAACAGTGTCATCATGTTTCTGTCTAGGTGGTAGAAGAACAACTCCCTCAGACAATGAACCTGATGCTAACTGTAGGCACTGCTCTGTCTGAAGTTCAGTCAGTTAGTGTCACTCCCATAAATAACGTTGATGACATCAGCTGTAAATTGTGTGTAGTGTGTGTGTGTGTGTGTTACCTGAGTATCCCGAGCAGCAGAGAGGACCCCCACAGCACCGTGCTCAGGAGCCACCAGCGCTCGGAGCGGACGGGCACCAGGCGAGCGTCCGCCGCCCACGCCACATGCTCACACGGGTAATACAACTGATCTGCCACGTTAGTGAGGACAGAGAGACCGCGGACGCACAAGTCCTCCTCCTGCACACACAACACACACAGTAACACACACATACACACAAGTCCTCCTCCTGCACACACAACACACACAGTAACACACACATACACACAAGTCCTCCTCCTGCACACACAACACACACAGTAACACACACATACACACAAGTCCTCCTCCTGCACACACAACACACACAGTAACACACACATACACACAAGTCCTCCTCCTGCACACACAACACACACAGTAACACACACACATACACACAAGTCCTCCTCCTGCACACACACCACACACACAGTAACACACACATACACACAAGTCCTCCTCCTGCACACACAACACACACAGTAACACACACATACACACAAGTCCTCCTCCTGCACACACAACACACACACAGTAACACACACACACACACAAGTCCTCCTCCTGCACACACAACACACACACAGTAACACACACACACTCACACACAAGTCCTCCTCCTGCACACACAACACACACAGTAACACACACATACACACAAGTCCTCCTCCTGCACACACAACACACACAGTACACACACACACACACAAGTCCTCCTCCTGCACACACAACACACACAGTAACACACACATACACACAAGTCCTCCTCCTGCACACACAACACACACACAGTAACACACACACACACACACAAGTCCTCCTCCTGCACACACAACACACACAGTAACACACACATACACACAAGTCCTCCTCCTGCACACACAACACACACACAGTAACACACACAAGTCCTCCTCCTGCACACACAACACACACAGTAACACACACAGTAACACAAGTCCTCCTCCTGCACACACAACACACACAGTAACACACACAAGTCCTCCTCCTGCACACACAACACACACAGTAACACACACAGTAACACAAGTCCTCCTCCTGCACACACAACACACACACAGTAACACACACACACACACACACACACAAGTCCTCCTCCTACACACACAACACACACAGTAACACACACATACACACAAGTCCTCCTCCTGCACACAGAACACACACAGTAACACACACAAGTCCTCCTCCTGCACACACAACACACACAGTAACACACACATACACACAAGTCCTCCTCCTGCACACACAACACACACAGTAACACACACATACACACAAGTCCTCCTCCTGCACACACAACACACACAGTAACACACACACACACACACAAGTCCTCCTCCTGCACACACAACACACACAGTAACACACACACACGCACACAAGTCCTCCTCCTGAACACACAACACACACAGTAACACACACACACACACACAAGTCCTCCTCCTGAACACAGAACACACACAGTAACACACACATACACACAAGTCCTCCTCCTGAACACAGAACACACACAGTAACACACACATACACACAAGTCCTCCTCCTGCACACACACAACACACACAAGTCCTCCTCCTGAACACACATGACACACACAGTAACACACACAATAACACACACACAAGTCCTCCTGCACACAGTAACACACACAGTAACACACAGTAACACAAACACAGTAACACACAGTAACACAAACACAGTAACACACAGTAACACAAACACAGTAACACACACACAAGTCCTCCTGCACACAGAACACACACAATAACACACAGTAACACAAACACAGTAACACACAGTAACACAAACACAGTAACACACAGTAACACAAACACAGTAACACACACACAAGTCCTCCTGCACACAGAACACACACACACAAACACTTGTCTTCCTCCTGAACCGTCAGCCCACCACGTCCTTAAAAAACTCTTTTGGATCTTACTCTAAAAAAAAAAAAACACTAGGAAGAACCATGTTGTAGAGTCAGTCGAGCTTTTTCACAGCAGCAGGAGTGTTGCGATGTACAAAAATGTCACTTATGTTAATACTTTTCTGAGGCAAAATATCTGTGGAAATGTCTCACGTATTTTCCAGCAGCTTCATAAATCTGCCCCATCACCAAATCTTCATCCAACAAGCTCCACAAAGGATAAACATTCTATCATGAACAATTTATCCACAATTATCAAAAGAAGAAAGACAAAAACGTAAAGGAGAACAATGAAGACGCATTAGTGAACTACTGAATGAAATGTTATGGTGAAACGTTATGATCATGAATAAAAAATCACTTAGACTGATTCGAGAATTAAAATTTAAAAGTTACTTATTAACAAATCACTTATTACTTATGTTTTATTTCTGACCATAAGATTAGTTTTGCTCAGTAGTTTCCTAATGTGTCATCGTTGTTCACCTTTATGTTTTGTCTTTCTTCCCTTGATAGTTGTGGATGAAGAATGTTTATTCTTTGTGGACCTTGTTGGTTGAAGATTTAGTGATGGGGCAGATTTATGAAGCTGCTGGAAAATATTTATTTTACTCAGATATTTTACCATAGAAAAGCATTAACCGGAAGTCCCACAAACCTACAGCGCGACACTTCAGGCCATTGTGAAAAAGGTTTATTTAGTAAACAGAAAAAGAGCTGCAGGTCATGTTAGTCATGAAATGTCTCACCTAAACCCAAAGAAGGACAGAATGTGTATGAACTAATTTAACAAAAAAAACTCAAACCACAGAAGAGCTTGAGCACCACCAAATCTTACACACGATGATGACCACGTTTTAGAGAAATAAGGAGTGTCCCCTGTCTTTAAAGTCAAATCTCATTCATCTCATTTCATATTCAGAAATCTGGTGACTTGAGTTCAGGTCTATATCATGATGTTTGTGATGTGAGGGTGTGGTGCTGACGCTGACCGTAGCGCCCAGGCCGTAGCTCTGGGAGTAAGCCAACATGGACAGGTCATCAAATAGCCTCAGGACGGTTCTGCAGTGGCTGAGCTGAGTGGAGAACAGAAGCAGGCTCCGCCCCAAACGCCGAGACGATCCATCAGGAGAGGAGTCACGACACAAGACTCCACCCACCAGCTGAGCCCCATAACACGCCGTCCGGATCTGCCACAAGGAGCGGGGAGGGGTCAGGTTATTATCTATAAGTAATGTCTATATTATACACATTATTAAAGAAAGAGAAGAATTATACAGGAGTAAATAAAACAATCATAAAGGTATGCAGAATTAGGTAGTATTGAATTCAATTGGAAGTACTTCAGAGAGTACTGTATCACAACAAAGGTTTTACTACTTGAAAAATATTTGAATACTTCTACTTGAATTATGCTGAGTAATGCTTTGTCTTTTCTCCCCATCTAGTGATAAACACTTCATGATGACATCATGATGAATGGTATTACAATAAAACTACAATAGTACTACAATAGTACTACAATCACAACTGAGCCTATGTCTCCAGAGTCTTCACCTGCAGACAGAGACACGTCCAAGTGTCTCATTCTCAGTTTATGTTCATGTCTCATGTGAAGCTCAGCACCTCCAGAATTCTCTCCCTGAGCTGCAGAGGCTGCACTAGCACTGACTCAGGACTGGAGCAGGTGCTGGGGTTTAGTCATTTTTGGTTGATCTGCTGATTAAAAAATACACTCAGAACTTTATTTTAACACTTTTATACGAAGAGATAATGTCACAAACTGTGATACACAGCTCTCCTAACCTCAAGACAGTTTAGAACAGGTGAGTTTTCAGAACCTTTTTGAAGACAGGGAGTTTGGAGAACTTGCAAGGGCCCCGTCCCCCACGATAATCCTGTGAATAGGCCTCCATACATGATACTGTGATGATAATAGTGTGAATAGGCCTCCATACATGATACTGTGATGATAATAGTGTGAATAGGCCTCCATACATGATGATACTGTGATGATAATAGTGTGAATAAGCCTCCATACATGATAATACTGTGATGATAATAGTGTGAATAGGCCTCCATACATGATACTGTGATGATAATAGTGTGAATAAGCCTCCATACATGATGATACTGTGATGATAATAGTGTGAATAGGCCTCCATACATGATAATACTGTGATGATAATAGTGTGAATAGGCCTCCATACATGATAATACTGTGATGATAATAGTGTGAATAGGCCTCCATACATGATGATACTGTGATGATAATAGTGTGAATAGGCCTCCATACATGATAATACTGTGATGATAATAGTGTGAATAGGCCTCCATACATGATAATACTGTGATGATAATAGTGTGAATAGGCCTCCATACATGATGATACTGTGATGATAATAGTGTGAATAGGCCTCCATACATGATAATACTGTGATGATAATAGTGTGAATAGGCCTCCATACATGATAATACTGTGATGATAATAGTGTGAATAGGCCTCCATACATGATACTGTGATGATAATAGTGTGAATAGGCCTCCATACATGATACTGTGATGATAATAGTGTGAATAGGCCTCCATACATGATGATACTGTGATAATAGTGTGAATAGGCCTCCAAACATGATGATACTGTGATAATAGTGTGAATAAGCCTCCATACATGATAATACTGTGATGATAATAGTGTGAATAGGCCTCCATACATGATAATACTGTGATGATAATAGTGTGAATAGGCCTACATACATGATGATATGAGCATAAGCCCTGCGCCTGGATGAACCGTGCGCACTCACCACTTTGTCCCTGCCGCGGTACGTCTCCAGCACCCGGACCAGCTCCTCCACGGCCCGCTGCATGTCTGTGTGCACCCCGGGGTCCACTGCACTCCTCCCGGCATGTCACAGCCCACAGGCCCGCTACAGCACCGTGCGCATCACCCGGAGCATCAGCACAACACCGCGCACAGTTTGTCTGAGCAGCCAGACTCTTGGGTTACGCAGGAGAAACAAGTTTCATGTTTGTCTGTGAACTCTGGACCAGAACTCTGTGCGCAGACGCGCGCAATCGAGCACAGATACAACCAACAGTGTAAGAAATTGACCTAAAATCTATCTACTGGTGTTGGCTGCCCTCTTGTGTTTACTTGATGCATTGCACTTGCCAGGGGAAGTAAAAAAGCCATATTCTGTTGTTCCCCCATCCTCCTAAATGTCAGATGCCCTCCCATCCTGGTATATCCTAGGTCATTGTTTCCCAAAGACTGGGTCACAACTCTCAGGTGGATCGCAAAAGATTCTTTTTGTCTTTTTGTTTTCTTGTCATGATCTGCATGTAGGTCTGTAATATACAGTTTTGATCTGTGACCTTTTCATCATTCTGGATCAACATTTGGTCAGAATCTCCTGTCCTCAGTAGGGTCAGTATTTCTCTGCTTTTTCCTTTCACTATCACATATTTGTGTGAACTGGGATTCTCTGTGCTCACAAAAAAGCCAAAGCACAAAAACAGAAACGCTGCTCCTGATCTGCTGCTGCACACGGACTGAACACACTACAAAATGGTCACATTTTTCTATAGCGCTTTTCCTTTCAGGCACTCAAAGCACTTTACAACAAGGAACCACACACCAGTGTGGGCAGACACTGTGGGGCAAGGTGGGTTAAGTGTCTTGCCCAAGGACACAACAGCAGCATTCATCTGTGGGAGCTGGAATCAAACCAGCCAACCTGTGGGTCAGTGGATCTGACTGCTCAACCTGTGATGTTCATGTCAAGAGCTGGAATTGAACTGCCAACCTTCAGATCAGTGGGCGAATGCTCTACCAACTGAGCTACTGCCACCTGAAATGACTGTTTTGTTCCAGTATTGCTGGTTCTATTGAATGTTGAAAAGAAAAAGAAATGTTCTACATTTAATGTCCAAACAGGCAACTTCTGGATCGTTTTATTACTGCTTCAGTTTTTTTCATTGTTTAAAATTTGAGTCATACTAATAGTTCAGAGACATGATCACTCAGTCAACAATAAAATATCCTCATTCATGTTCAATAATGCTCAAATCCACCTTTGTTTTGTGATTTATGAATGTTACCTTACCACCATACTGCAAACAAAAGCCTCATTTACATAATAGTTATTATTTCACAAATACAAATAAATACAACAGCTTTCCTTTATTGTCGTAAATTAACATTAATATTGTCTTTTGTCCCGACATTTTGAATGGACTTTTTAGTAGTGATGACATAGAAAGAGGGATTTCGTTTTAGAATTCACTTTCTGAAACTTGTGTCAAATTGTGTTTGACTTTTCTTCACTAATTGCCATAGTCTTAATAAAGTTATGATTAGAAAACCCTGAAAACCTTTTATATGCACTGGAAGACTCTAAACTCAAATGATTTATACCGCACCAGTCGCTCATCACAAACAGAAAACAGACTTGAACCAGACTCTGTTCACAAAATCATATTTTGGAGGATGTTTTGGTACATGATTGACTGAAAATGTTGCGGTGTCTTTTTGCGAGCTCAGCTTTGGTGATCACAAACTCTCTGACCTTGTGTTCTGTTCCCTGCCAAAGTGACCATGTCTCCAGAGAACAGCGGCACCAGCCACAGTGTGAGAGGTGCATGTGTGTAACGCTCACATAGAGAATGGTTTCACACACAGGTGTGAAAGTCCTGATCTTTCTCTTGTCCTCTACACTGTAGCGACCCGTCTCTCTGTGCTTTGTGGTCCCTGAAGTCTCAGTCAGTATGTCTCTTTATTCAGGCACCTGTTGTTGTTACAGAAGTGTTTGGGAGATCCACATCCATCAAACACACACTGGACCGTGGTGTGTCCTCGTTTAGCTACTGTCCACACGTCCACTGTCCCTGCACCTTACAGCACTGTCCAACTGACGAGGACACAGAAGAACAGAAGGACACGTAAGGACTGGAACTAGAGACATTTTTCCTCCTACAGCTCCCCTCAAACAGTGAGAGTTACAGGACTACATTCATATAATACTCCCTTCACCAGCTTCAAATCAAATCACAAACAAAACATCTGAGGCTTCACATACAGTCACAGTGCATGTAACGCGTTAAAACAAGTAGATGAATGTAGATTTTTCTGTAGTCCAGACTTTCTTACTGAGGTTATTTTTTATAGAATATGAACACAATCAGCAGAATCTGTGGCATTCCTGTTTGGCAGCTCACATGACTGAGCTGCTCAGGATCATTCAGGCTACACTTCATTAATAAAGTACAGCTCTATGGCTACAAATATCAATGTGAGAACAGTGTCACAGATACACCGGGATATGCTTCAATTGAGCTGAGAGCAGAACACATAGATAATAATTGAAAGTGTTAGTGTTAGATAAGGACAGTGACCCTAACTGTTGTAAAATCCAACATTGTTCTTCCTGTTCACAGGTTCTTTCACTTCAGTTCTAGCCTTGCTGGCACCTGACACATTGTCACTGGAGTGTCTTCTGGAGATAAGAACAGTAAATCTGCATTGAGTCTCCTCTAAATGTGAATGAATAGCATCAAGTTGACTCTGTTGGTGTTTTTATAGTAAAGTCAAGTTAGTTTTGTGCACTGTTGTTCTGCAGGTTTCTGTTCAGGAGCTGGTGTATTATCACAAGGCTCTGTAGATGCAGCTGTGGGAGATGCTGTGATGTTCACCACGTCTCTTTATCCAACACAAAGGGTGTTTGGCACTAAAGCTTTCATCTGCTCTACTGTTCCTAACAACTACTGCTCCAGAGTATGAAGGCACAATCACTCTGTTCATCTCTGCTGGATCTCTGGAGCTCAGGAACATACCTCTAAATGACACTGGAGTTATAATGTTGCCATAACAAGCAGATGGTGCTGTAAAGGATGGACACACCAAATTAAACACATGGGGTAAGTAATGACACATTAATAACAAATGAATTCTGCAGACAATAATGTATATAGTCTGTAGCTATACAAAGAACTGATTATAAAAGTCATGAATTGCACCGGCGGTGCTGTGGTTTAAAGCGTTGCACATATATGGTTGCTACCACATCCATATTGTGGGCTCACCCTCAGTAAGTCTCCACCCACTCTCTCCATTTCATACTGCAGTGGTCCTGTCATATAAAAGGCCACAAATCTAAATATCATTTTACTGAATTCCTTGATTCATTTGTGGATTTTTGCTGTGGTTTAATGGAAAATGACAAATCATCACATGTCAGATCTTAAGTCACATGTATCATATCTTAATGTGAAGAAAAAGCTGGATGTCTACATAAATATGGACAGGGCAATGTCCTTGTAACGCCAGCATCGCAAAGCTCCATCTGAGTGGAGCCAAATGCTGTGGATGACATCACACTCACTTCTTCACTTCTTTATACAGTCTGTGGGTCTGACAGTGGGTTCAAGGATTTGATCCTGATACCTAATGGCAGTCAGACTGTAGAGGTCTGTGTGTCCCTTCATGGATCTGCCTCTCTAGACCATCACTGACCCACCACCAATCCACTTATGTGAACCACGTTACAGACAGCTCTCCCACTCTAGGCAGTCTCCCACTTGTATGTACTGTAATCTACACTTTGCATCAGCATGGGCCAAAAGGACAACAGAGAAGTTGCCCTTATAATCAAAATACAACCTACCGGAGTTGGGTGGCGCTTCATGTATAATTAGTCTATTGATATTATTATTATTACTTTCTGATTTGATGTGGCATTTCCCTATAGAGGAAGATTGAAAAAAGAGGTGGAAGGGGCTGAGAGCCAGCTATGTCCGTTTCAAAAGACAAAAGGCACCAAGCAGCTCTGGTGCTGGATCCCAAAGAGAGTGGAAGTGGGAAAAAGAAATGGAGTTTCTCTTAGCACACTTACAACAAAGAGGGGAAGATGCAAAAATCCTTTTTGTACCACACACACCATTAATGACATCACTATGATATATTTTACAGCACACAGTTTGCTCGGTCAGTTTAGTGATAAAGACGTGACAGCAGTAGAAGAGGATGCAAAGGAGCCTCTAAATCTTCAGATGGAGGAGCTTCAAGAAGTTGCCCCCTCCCCACAAGTACCATAGAATCTGAAGTCTTTAGAGACACCCCCACCCCATCAAGTGTGGAAGCACACCGTCATTTACAACAGGATACTGTAGAACTGGAACACCACCCATCCACCACTAAGTGCAGGCTCTCATAACTGGGCAGGTCAGAGCAGAGCAGGTCTGCTGAGTCTACGACAGAGGAGAGGCTCCTTGAAATGTTGTTCTGTGTTTAATTAAAACAAATTAGTGCTCTGAAATGTACTTTTGAATCCTGGTGTTTGCCGTGATCAGCAGGCTTCTGTTTACCGTCTATTTATGTACAGACTACCGTCTGTAGAAGCCTGTGCAGCGGGTTAGTTTCACTGAAGACCTACAGCGAAGTCTGATATTCTCTCCCATTAAAAAACGGAGCCAGTACCGCGCACATACGTCCTGCTGGAGATGTCGATGTCGCTGTCTTCGTGTCAGGGGTTTCGCCTTGGGTTTTGAAAGACAACATGAGCAGATAAGCAAATCTCTGTGTCAGAATTTTAACGTCTCCCATGACAAGAAAACCCTTGTGTTGCTTTAATGTAGGAAAGTGAACATCATTTTGAATCTGTTTCCATAGGTTTTTCTGCCAAGGTCTGACTGGATATCAATTACGACAAGATTATGAAGTGTGCTCTTTTCTGTGAATGCGTGGCTCTTAAAAGAGCCGTTGTTGTGAGTCGAGTCTCGGGGCGTCTTTACTTGGCCTTCTCGGTCTTCTTGGGCAGCAGCACAGCCTGGATGTTGGGCAGCACGCCTCCCTGAGCAATGGTGACGCCTCCCAGCAGTTTGTTGAGCTCCTCGTCGTTGCGGACGGCATCAGTTATTATGCTGGACTATTTGGCCTGTATAGGATAGAATCATTTGGGCCGTCACGATTAATATATTAATAGTGATCATTAAAAACCATTATCATATTTTATTTTATAATCATTATTTGGATTGTACAGGACTCAACTTCAGTCATCATATTTCAATGTACATTTGGTTAAAAATGTTTTGAAAATCTAAATTTACAATTAAATGAATAGTTTGACTATTCACATAGGTGACTAAATAATCATTGGCTAGAGGAATATTAAAAGAATAATTAGCACCAGTGTGAAGTGAGATCATGTAACGAAAGAGAGGGGCTTATCATTTGTCATGCTCCATAGGCCCACATGAGGAACTACATGAGGTATGTCTAATGAGAGTCGACATGAGCTCCTACATGAGCCGAGCATATAGACATGTCACAGTACACGTTCACACGTTCATGAGAAGGATCTACTGTATTCTATTTTCCAAAGAATGTTTTTATTCTCTTTCAGCACGGAGAGGAGCACGCTGCTAATTCGGTGCCTTTCTGAAGAATATTGACCAATATCACACATTAAAACTACATGCCCAAAATGTTAGTGGTAAGTTTTTGGTGAAATCTCCAGAGGCTCAAGTGACGTCACTAGAAGTGTTACATATTGTGTCTTTATGCACAAGTGAATCTGTTTAGTTGCAAACATGTTCAGAAGCACACAAGGAGAGGAAAAAAAAAAAAAAAAAACAGAACAGAGGAGCTCTTTAGTGTCGTGCGTGTGTGTGTTATATTGTGCTGGAGCAGTTTACTTGGAGCTGGTGTACTCTTCTCTCGTCGCCGGGGTGAGGGCCCTGTCTTCTGTGGGTGAGGGCCCTGTCTTCTGTCTTCTGTGGGTGAGGGCCCTGTCTTCTGTGGGTGAGGGCCCTCTCGTCTCCGGGTGAGTTAAAGTTAAAATATGCATCAGTAAAACGGCTCGTAGTAGCAGTTTTATTGTATCAGTGTTTCTCAATCCATGAAACTTCAACATTTTCAAGTTGTCGTTTAACAAAGGCTCGTGATACAATGAAAATGTTTTTTTTGAGACCCACTTTTGGCCCACAAACAACCACCTGAGAACCACTGCTTAAAACTCACCAAATCCTCGGTGTCATAGTCCCGGAACAGAACTTTACCGAGGAACATTTAGGCGGCGATGCATCCGACGGACCACATGTCCACGGACTCAGAGAAGGACGAGCCCACAGCCACCTCTGGAGCCCTGAATACAAACACAACAACAAACATACACATGGTCAGTCCCACTGTGCTGGGCTCTGCTTTTAGTCCAAGTTTAGTCCTAATGTTGTTTAGTCCAAGTTTAGTCCTAATGTTGTTTAGTCCTGGTTTAGTCCTAATGTTGTTTAGTCCTGTTTAAGTCCAAGTTTAGTTCTAATGTTGTTTAGTCCAAGTTTAGTTCTAATGTTGTTTAGTCCTGGTGTAGTCCTGGTTTAGGTCTGAATTGTGTCCCACTTTGAACCCAAATGTGGATGTAAATTCAGCATGTACAAACTTTGGACTTTGATACTTGATTAAAAGTATTTTGAAGTAACTTAGGTAGTTAACGTCCAATTTTAGATTTCCACAATAGGTAAAAATCTACAATGCACAATGTTTTATTATTATTTTTTTAATAAATTGATTTATAATTAGATGCAGAAACACATTTTGACCCCAAGAGCTGCATTTACTAATTATCTGTGCAAAAGTCAAGTCATAGAATTAAATTAATCTAAATACTCCCTCACATATCAGTCGTCCCTGTCCCTGTCATGTCCCTGTCTTGTCCCTGTCATGTCCCTGTCTTGTCCCTGTCTTGTCCCTGTCATGTCCCTGTCTTGTCCCTGTCTTGTCCCTGTCATGTCCCTGTCTTGTCCCTGTCATGTCCCTGTCATGTCCCTGTCTTGTCCCTGTCTTGTCCCTGTCTTGTCCCTGTCTTCACATACCTGTAGCAGACTGTCTGTATCATTTGTCCGGGCTTGGTGTCGCTCACAGCACAGGCCAAACCAAAGTCTATCAGTTTGATGGCGAGGGGCTGCCTCACGTGATCGATCAGCATCACGTTATCGGGCTTCAGGTCGCTGTGGATGACGCCGACGCTCTTCAGGAAGAGCAACGCCCCGACCGTCTGCAAGAGACATGAGCTCACTTTAACACACGTGGAGTTAAGAGCAGGATTCACATCAAAACACATGTTGGTATAAAATGCAAATATAAAAACACATTCTGATGAGTCCAGAGTTTTACCTGAGTGACGATCGGACGGATGTTTTTGAGGCGCAGACTCTGACACGGAGCCATGGCCTGGTACTCCTGTAGACTGATGTCCAGCCTCTCGAATTCATGGCAGAAACGTCCCCGATACTTAAACGAGTCAATCCACTGGACGATGTGATACGACTCAGAGCCTTTCTCCTTGAGGCTGCGCAGCATCTGGGCCTGTAGGGGGCGCACAAGATCACATACAAGTTTAATACAATGGATAAACTTAACTCAAGATTTTAGTCCTGGTTTAGTCCTGGTCTAGTCCTGGTTTAGTCCTGATTTAGTCCTGGTCTAGTTCTGGTTTAATCATATTTTTGCCTTGGTCTAGTTCTGGTTTAGGCCTGGTCCAGTCCTGGGTCAGTTCTGTTCTAATCTGAGTTTAGGCTAGTTTTAACAAATTCACTAAACCAGGACTCAACCAGAACTAAAGCCAGGACTAAACTAGCTCTAAACCAGATCTAACCCAGGACTAAACCAGGAATAAACCAGGTCTAAACCAGGACCAAACATGAAACATGTAAAACAGTAAAAACTCTCCTGTCCAATCAAATTAAAAGTGACTTTTAAGACCAAATCTAAGTTATTTTCAGATGAAATAGTTTGATCAAACCAGTTTCAGTGAAAACATGTTTCTGCACGTGTGTCTTACCTCCTTCTGTCCGAAGTGGAATTCACTGTTGTCCCGTCCTTTGAGCACCTTCAGCGCCACCGTCTGGCCGCTGTTGGTGTTGTAGCAGAGGGCGACCACTCCGAAGCCCCCGAAGCCCAGGATCTGCTGCACTTCGTAGGACGAGGAGCTGGAGCTGATGTAGTCTCCAACCTTCACGTTCATGCTTCAGGACGAGGACAAGACCCAAGCAAGGAGGAAGTAACGTTTCCGAGTGAGGGTCCTCTCTTTTGTGGGTGAGGGCCCTCTCTTTTGTGGGTGAGGGCCGTTTCGTGTCCAGGTGAGGGCCGTTTCGTCTGCGGGTGAGGGCCCTCTCGTTTCCGGGTGAGGTCCCTCTCTTCTCCGGGTGAGGGCCATCTTGTCTGTGGTTGAGGGCTCTTTCGTCTCTTGTGGGTGAGGGCCCTCATTTTGTGTGCGAGGGTCCTCTCTTCCATGAGTGAGGGCCCTCTGTTTTGTGGTTGAGGGCCCTTTCGTCTGGGTGTGAGGGCCCTCTCTTCTCCGGGTGAGGGCCCTCTCGCCTCCGGGTGACTTGGAAACGTTACTTCCTCCTTGCTTGGGTCTTGTCCTCGTCCAGTACTGTGCTGGATGGAGCTGTTCGCAGTGGACTACTTTGGGTTGGTGACCTCCCGTTCTTTGCTCTCCAACTTAATCGTTCCCTCTTCATTTTGGGACTGAGTGGCTCCAAATAGATTGATTCTTCTGGCTTCCTCTTCCTGTTTTGTGTAGTAGAGGCCAGGTTGATGGTTTCGTGAGCAGAGTGAAGGACGATTGTGTTTTCCTTCGACTCTGACTTGTTCTGCTCACAGTCACAGAGTCTTTTCTCTTCATCTTATGACTGAACGAGTCCAAGATGACGCCTTCCTCTGCCTTCCTCTTTCTGGTCTTTTCAGATTTCGAACCAGACGCCTTCCCTTCCTCCTTCTGCCCATTCACAGACTCCAGGAGGATCTTGTCTGGAGTCTTTTCTGGAGACTTTTCATGGACTTCTCCAGATGTTTGCACAGAGCTGTAAAAGAGACAAAAGTGATTTATTTAGAACGCTTCCAAAGCCGAGCATGTCAGTTTAAACATTTTTGCATTTCATTTATCCATAAGCTGCCCTGGTAGAAGCAGAAGCACAAATTAGTTTTCACAATGTTTAATCACCATCTAAAATTTCTAAGGACACAAGGAAACAAGCTGTACAAACCTGTCAGCAGAAACAGAAGCCTCTCTTTTGGTCCGTTTGCGTGGGGATTCTTCCTCCTCTCTCCTCCTCTTCAGGCTAGAGGTTTGTCCCTGTGCGGTCTTGGAGGTCTCAGGGGATGAAGAGGAAGTGGAGGAAGTGGACCGCTGCTCCTTACGGCAAAGATCTAATGCCTGGAGCTGAATTCTTTTACTCTCCAAGCTAAAGAACAGAGTTAAAGTTAAAATATGCATCAGTAAAACGGCTCGTAGTAGCAGTTTTATTGTATCAGTGTTTCTCAATCCATGAAACTTCAACATTTTCAAGTTGTCGTTTAACAAAGGCTCGTGATACAATGAAAATGGTTTTTTTGAGACCCACTTTTGGCCCACAACCAACCACCTGAGAACCACTGCTGTATTAATTCGGATTTTTTGTAGTAGAGCTCGAAGTGAAGGCATTGGTGAGACACTTACCTGTACTCGCGGTACAGTTGGCTCAGATGGGTCAGGGTGAGGAAGGGGTGATCCAGGGCCACATCTGGACTGATCCTGGTTTGAGGGTCTAAGTCTAACATGCGTTTGAGCATGTCTATGAAGACTGCCCGATCAAAATCCTCCACTTCACTGGTCTCTCTCACCAGGCTGGAAGGATCCTTCTGAGGAGACAAGAACATTTTACATTTAGTAGGAATATAACGATATCCAAATCTCTCCATACAATATTTTATTTATTGCCATATTTTGTAGAACAAAATTCTGAACTTTCTGTCATAATCCAAACATTTAAGATTTAAAAGTGCTTCATAACAGTTATTTCGAGGGACGGGACAAGACACAATTTCCACAAGACGAGATTGAGTTCAAGAGAACGAGACAAAATAAAACTTTAACATCATTTCTAAGTTTCCAATTTTGGCCTCGCAATTTTATATTTATTTCATTTCATATTTTTGTTTCCATTCTAGTAAAGCAATAACATTTCCATGGACACAAGAAAGTGGTGAACACTCTTGAAAAAGTTATTACTGTTTGCAAACTCACACAAATGTCTGGTATTAAATGAAAAGGATTTTCTCTTACCCAGTAAATGGAACCCAGAGACGGAACGGTGCATTTAAACCGTCGCTTCCTCTTCTTCACCTAAAAACACAAAATAACAGAGGTTAGAGTTCACATGTTTTGGACTGGGCATAAAACAATTTCCTGTAGTTGGTGACATCACACAGGACTCAGGTCTCGATTACAGACGAGTGTTTCTGAGACAAACATCTGGCTGCAGGGGCGGAGTTTTAAGTGTGACATTTGTTCCACCAATCACACTGATTCACACTCATTTCGCTATTTTGTCCCTAAATCGAGACACAAACATAAATATGGGACCAATCAGACACCGTCATTCCCTGAGGTCCCTCCCACTAGCATTAGCAACAGGTTTGATTGACAGCTTGTGCATTTTGTTGCTAAGTAAGCCCTTCCCGCTTTCCAGTGAGAAGGACGGCACATTTAACCACCTCAATCATGACTGGCTCTTTTGGTTGCTATGATACTGGCGGTCGGATTTACAAATATGAAGCCTGGTTCCAGATTGGCTCTTGTAAGTGGAGGTGAACGTTGTGAAGACGCCACACTCACGTAGTCCACTTTTTATACAGTCTATCTCCTCCTCCCCCTCACTCTCCCCTTTAGTCCTCCAGACACGGCCCAGTTTTGCAGCTCTGTTTAAAACTGCTTGTGGTTGGAGTGGAATTAAATTGCTGTATTATAGTCTCTATTCACGCTTACGTCACAAACCAGGAAGACATTTGGAAACATGCACTGACAACTTCCGGTGTAGTTCCCGACACTGGGCTCGCCGACTGACTGTGAGGTAAATGTGATCAGCAGTAAAATGAAGACTAATCGCATGTACCCAGTGCGCTCCGAGTTGTGCGTTAGTGGGGAAATTATGAAAACTGAAGTATGGTTGTAATTGTTGATTAGTCGAACATAACAGAACGCTACAATGACATGAAGATATTTTCAAATTGTTCCTAGGTTTGGTCAGACTTAAGTTACATTCAGACTGCAGCCTGAAGTGACCCAAATCCAATTTTTTGGCCTCTATGTGACCTGTATCTGATCTTTTAATGTCAATCTGAATGACACAGATCTGATTTTTTCAAATGCGACCCAGGACACTTGGATATGTGCTCCTAAAACCGATACATATCTGATCTTTTGACATGTGACTTCAGTCTGAACGGCCAAAGCTCATTCATCCACCTACATGTTATCAACAAGCCACAAACGTCACTATTCTGATCTGAAATAGGTGAAAATTGTTAATGAACTCCGTGTCACTGAAGCGATCTCAATCTCCTCCTTAAAACAAGTAAGTTGTACATGTTCTGGCTCCGGTACAAGAGGAACTTTAAAATCACCAGGTGCTCAATGCTCGCGTCCATGTTCAAGACACAACTTCCGTAAACACAGAGCCCGCTCGCTGCGGTTGACGTCGTTGTGTCTCCAGTGCACATGCGAGACACTTTTGGACTGTTTAATATTCACACTGGAGATCACATACAAGTCGCGTTTAATTGGAAATGTGAACGATCAGATTTCACAAAAAAATCCGAATTAAGCCTTTAAGCCCTGCAGTCTGAACGTAGGCTTAGTATCGCGAACAGAGCGTGCCGGAAGTTGTCATCACATATTATCCTGTCATTGCAAAACTAAACACTGTTATTGATTTTTTTGTGTCTGAGATTCTGGATCCCTGTTTGGTAAACGGTGAAAAGTGTGTTGTTTTGAAAGTGAATCGTACCACGTGTATCCACTCTGACTCTCCGTCCGGGAGACAGAAGTAATTCCATGTCCTTTGGCCTGAGTCCAGGACGTGTTTGGGAGGCTGCCCCAGAATCTGGACGATCATCCGGATCTGTGGACACAACACAACAGGTTAGAACTGTCTGTGAAGGCAAAGTCTGCATGGACATGTTATTGCTCTGCCTGGAATGTTTCAGAGTGTGGCATTAAACTTCTCTATATCCATGACAACAAGACAAGTTACAGGTCAGATCTGTAGAGTGGCGAGCCTGGTCACTTGTTTTTCAAGGTATTTTTGAGCTATAAATAAAATATAAACATTCCAGACAAGACAAAACATTTCCATTGATACATAAAGCAGCTTTAAATAATTCTGACATTTATCAAATCACAGCACACGTTTATTTATACTAGTAGTAGTAGTAGTAGTACTCGTAGTAGTAGTAGTAGTAGTAGTAGTAGTAGCAGTAGCAGTAGCACAGAGAAGTTGAACAGAGTAAAACTCACCAGATCCTCGGTGTCATAGTCCCGGAACAGAACTTTACCGAGGAACATTTAGGGCGGCGATGCATCCGACGGACCACATGTCCACGGACTCAGAGAAGGACGAGCCCACAGCCACCTCTGGAGCCCTGAATACAAACACAACAACAAACATACACATGGTCAGTCCCACTGTGCTGTGCTCTGGTTTTAGTCCAAGTTTAGTCCTAAAGTTGTTTAGTCCAAGTTTAGTCCTAAAGTTGTTTAGTCCAAGTTTAGTCCTAAAGTTGTTTAGTCCTGAGTTTAGTCCTGTTTAGTCCTGGTTTAGTCCTGGTTTAGTTCTAATGTTGTTTACTCCAGGTTTAGGTCTGAATTGTGTCCCACTTTAAACCCAAATGTGGATGTAAATTCAGCATGTACAAACTTTGGACTTTGATACTTGATTAAAAGTATTTTGAAGTAACTTAGGTAGTTAACGTCCAATTTTAGATTTCCACAATAGGTAAAAATCTACAATGCACAATGTTTTATTATTATTATTGTTAATAAATTGATTTATAATTAGATGCAGAAACACATTTTGACCCCAAGAGCTGCATTTACCAATTATCTGTGCAAAAGTCAAGTCATAGAAATAAATTAATCTAAATACTCCCTCACATATCAGTCGTCCCTGTCCCTGTCATGTCCCTGTCTTGTCCCTGTCATGTCCCTGTCTTGTCCCTGTCATGTCCCTGTCTTGTCCCTGTCATGTCCCTGTCTTGTCCCTGTCTCGTCCCTGTCTTGTCCCTGTCTTGTCCCTGTCATGTCCCTGTCATGTCCCTGTCTTCCCTGTCTTGTCCCTGTCTTGTCCCTGTCATGTCCCTGTCATGTCCCTGTCATGTCCCTGTCTTGTCCCTGTCATGTCCCTGTCATGTCCCTGTCTTGTCCCTGTCTTGTCCCTGTCTGTCTTGTCCCTGTCTGTCCCTGTCATGTCCCTGTCTTGTCCCTGTCTTGTCCCTGTCATGTCCCTGTCTTGTACCTGTCTTGTCCCTGTCATGTCCCTGTCTTGTCCCTGTCTTGTCCCTGTCTTGTCCCTGTCTTGTCCCTGTCTTCACATACCTGTAGCAGACTGTCTGTATCATTTGTCCGGGCTTGGCGTCGCTCACAGCACAGGTCAAACCAAAGTCTATCAGTTTGATGGCGAGGGGCTGCCTCACGTGATCGATCAGCATCACGTTATCGGGCTTCAGGTCGCTGTGGATGACGCCGACGCTCTTCAGGAAGAGCAACGCCCCGACCGTCTGCAAGAGACATGAGCTCACTTTAACACACGTGGAGTTAAGAGCAGGATTCACATCAAAACACATGTTGGTATAAAATGCAAATATAAAAACACATTCTGATGAGTCCAGAGTTTTACCTGAGTGACGATCGGACGGATGTTTTTGAGGCGCAGACTCTGACACGGAGCCATGGCCTGGTACTCCTGTAGACTGATGTCCAGCCTCTCGAATTCATGGCAGAAACGTCCCCGATACTTAAACGAGTCAATCCACTGGACGATGTGATACGACTCAGAGCCTTTCTCCTTGAGGCTGCGCAGCATCTGGGCCTGTAGGGGGCGCACAAGATCACATACAAGTTTAATACAATGGAAAAACTTAACTCAAGATTTTAGTCCTGGTTTAGTCCTGGTCTAGTCCTGGTTTAGTCCTGGTTTAGTCCTGATTTAGTCCTGGTCTAGTTCTGGTTTAATCATATTTTTGCCTTGGTCTAGTTCTGGTTTAGGCCTGGTCCAGTCCTGGGTCAGTTCTGTTCTAATCTGAGTTTAGTCCTAGTTTAATCTAAACATTTCACTAAACCAGGACTAAACCAGGAACTAAAAGCCAGGACTAAACTAGGCTCTAAACCAGATCTAAAACTAAACCAGGACTAAACAGGTCTAAACCAGGTCTAAACCAGATCTAACCCAGGACTAAACCAGGTCTAAACCAGGACCAAACCAAACATGAAACATGTAAAACAGTAAAAACTCTCCTGTCTAATCAAAATAAAAGCGACTTTTAAGACCAAATCTAAATTGTTTTCAGATTGAAATTGTTTGATCAAACCAGTTTCAGTGAAAACATGTTTCTGCACGTGTGTCTTACCTCCTTCTGTCCGAAGTGGAATTCGCTGTTGTCCCGTCCTTTGAGCACCTTCAGCGCCACCGTCTGGCCGCTGTTGGTGTTGTAGCAGAGGGCGACCACTCCGAAGCCCCCGAAGCCCAGGATCTGCTGCACTTCGTAGGACGAGGAGCTGGAGCTGATGTAAGTCTCCAACCTTCACGTTCATGCTTCAGGACGAGGACAAGACCCAAGCAAGGAGGAAGTAACTGTAGTACTGCAAAAAGTACTGCCGATGTACTACAAGAAGTACTGCAAATTCCGAAACAAAGAATTAGTGGAGCTTGCATTAGATTGTACAAACAAAATAACAAATAACAAATAACAAACAAAAAATACATATAGTAAAAGTTTAATAGTACAAGTATAAAAGTACAGTTCAGTTTGTGTTTGGACACTATTCAAGGTGAAAACAAGAAACTGGTTGGTTTAATTGGTCTAGTCCTAGTTTAGTCCTGGTGTAGTCCTAGTTTCATCATATTTTTGTCCTGGTTTACGCCCGGTCTAGTTCTGGTTTAGACCTGGTCCAGTCCTGGTTCAATTCTGATCTAGTCTGGGTCTAGCCCTGGTTTTGTCCTGGTTTAATCACATTTCATCAAGTCTTGGTTTGGTCCTGGTTTACTCCTGTGTTTAGTCTCATTTAGTCTTGGTCTAAGCCTAGTCTAGTCCTGTTTCAGTCTTGGACTAGTCCTGGTTGATTCCTGGTTTAGTTCTGGTTTGGTACCGGTTTAGTCCTGGTTTAGTCACATTTAATCTTGGTCTAAGCCTGGTCCAGTTCTGGTTAAGGTCTGCTCCAATCCTCGTTCAGTCCTGTTTTAGTCCTGGTTTAGACCTGTTTGAGACCTGGTTTAGATCTGGTTTAGATCTAGTTTAGACCTGATTTTAGTCCTGGTTTAGTCCTAGTTTAGATATAGTTTAGACCTGGTTTTAGTCCTAGTTCAGTCCTGGTTTAGACCTGTATTAGTCCTTGTTTAGACCTGGTTTTAGACCTGTTTTAGACCTGGTTTAGATCTGGTTTAGCTCTAGTTTAGACCTGGTTTGGTTTCCGGCAATGAGTGAAATTACAGAGAAAAAAAAAGGGGGGTGGGGATATAACCCAGAATGTGAAAACAGTAAAATACCGCCATGTAATCCATTTATTTCAACAAAGTAACTGTAATCCAATTACCACTCACTGAAACAGTAACTGTAACCGAATACAGTTACTCATAATTTGTACTCTGATTACATAACTCCAGTACATGTAATCTGTTAATCCCCAAAACTGACCAGGTCCAAACCAGGTCCAAACCAGGACTAAACCAGGACTAAACCAGGACTAAGTTAGAGCTGTACCAGACCTGAACCAGGTCCAAACCAGAACTGAACCGAGGACTGAACCAGGACTAAACCAACCAGTTTTTCACTGGCAATTAATTATTATGTATTTTGATTGATTTATATTGATTTCTCTAACCCTTACAGAATCCTGAACCAATCCGGTGAATTTGTCACGTTTTAAGGTCAATTGTATTTGTTGAGCGCAGACAAGTTAGCCTAGATGTAGCCTGGGTGTGCTAACGTGAGAACCATCTCTGACTGTTGCCTTCTGTTTGGAATTTTGCATTCAAAGGAAAGCGTAAATGCACAAGGGCACATTTCTTTGAATAA